TTTAAGTGTCTCTTATATATGGGAACATGCCATAAGCATCAAATGTCTCTTATAATAAGGAACGGAGGGAGTACCAGTTAAATGGCTTGCTATCCTTCTATTTTAGGGTTAAGAATTCCGCTTCCTTTTCATCCCTAACTGACCTTAGAAAATACTTTTCGTAGAACTACTCCGAGAACACTTCCCATTTTACTCTTGTGTTTCGAGCATCAAGAATAAGTTTGATGTTCTTCCACCAACAGTCAGGGTCCCTTTCTACTCAGTCAGACAGTCCAAAACTTTGAAAATCTTTTTCCAAGTGGTTAATCCAGTCCTCTGCCACTTGGATGTCAAACAGTCTATCAAAGGGTGGCGGATTATGCTTGCAAAAACAGGTCATCCACTACTGGATGCTGTCAAGGTTTACTGCTGTCAAGGTCTACTACTGGCATTGCTAGTCTAGGCAGCTATTCTGATGCTTGAGTTGCAAAAGGTTCTTCTTCTGGCTGCCTCTTATCGAGGTTAGCCACCACCGCTGCTACTGATGTAGCTATCGTGTCATCAATTTCTTGTTCCTGGCAGGCTTATGCCGCCCTCAATTCCTTGATGGTCTTCTACTGTCGTTCTAAGCGATCCAGAATTAACTATCATGGATCAGGAGGGACCCTTGTGTCGTGTTCTGAGGGTCTCTATAGTAAAGGGTTCCTTCGAGTTCTAACCATCGCTCTAACTAAATGGGTAGCGTAACAAAGGAACAAGAATAAACAACATGCTTGGATTTCATTTAACAAAATATGCATTCGTCGTACATCATTCAAGCAACAATCATCAATCACAGCAATACAGTTCAAACATACATAGCAATCAAGATGCCAAACTAACCTACTACAGTTAGCTATAACAATACAAGTCCTACATCAGTGCTGTGACGGTTTAACTGACTACACGAGATAGGAACTAGCGAAGCCCTCAAGGCTCTAGATCCACTCCTCAACATCAGATCTCATTATCTGATCCTGGCAACAGAACTCATTCTACCATAGGGGCGTGAACAGGAGCCTGTTCGTCATCATCAGGATCTAGTCTTCCGTATCTTAACTTCAAGGAAAGGTATTCCTCATAAAGATCTCCAAGGTATCTATGAGATCATTGAAGCTAGCACTATCCGTGCGATTATAATTGTCTCTCACACTATTTTTCCAAAGCCAGGTCCTAGGGAGTACTCTAAGCAATGCTAATGTTCAATCCATCATCTTTAGGGTAGCATCTATCCTAGTCACACAATCGTAGAGCTTCTGGATATCCTCCAGATATATTAGGTACACATCGGTATTTTGATTCTCTTCAGGCTTAATGTACCAGCCTCTCTCCCTAAAGTCCTTGGCTAGGTCCTCTATGGTGTGGAATTCTTTCATGATTGGAAGTAGTTTAACCTCACTAGGTCCAGGTCTATTATCATCAGATATTTTAATAACCTCAATCCTCTAAGGATCATTAGAAGCAACTGTGGCTATGTCCGGCAGAGGGTTACTTTCTTATAAAGTATCATAGTAGAAGTCCGCTATAAGGCTATAGTCCTCATCCTCATTGAATCATTAAGGGAAAGGTTCTTTTGGTCTCCTCTAGTTAACTAAACCCTCTGAGTCACTATTATAGCCACAACAAGCCATTCTACTTTGTCCTATATTGTAATAACCAAACCAATAAATGAACAGTAATATTCTCCTGCAACAATATGTCAATTTTTCCTTCAACTAACATGTTACCAATAGGTTTGACTAAGCAGAGCGTTCTATCTTATGCTAGAACTTCCGCTTTAATATAAAAAATGTTACACCTTACTTCTAGTATGATTTAGAATTTATTTTGAGGCATTTTAGACCACATTGGATGGTCTTGGGCTTAAAAATATAAAAAAACCACTGATTTTTGGATTTTTACTGTTTATATGGTAAAAATCCAGTTTTATAGTCCAATTTCAAAAAGTCATAACTTAATCCAGAAAAATCAAAATAAAGTGGTTCAAAATTTTATAAAATGGTCTTTGAATGCTATTTCAAGAAAAAATAATCTTGTGAACCAATTTCATTTACAAAAGTGTCAGGTTTTTGTGAAAGTCACTTCTATCTTTTTAGTAAAAACTCTTTCTAGATTTTGGACCTTAACTTTGAAAAATCATTAAAAATTGTATAGTTGACTATTTTTAACATGCTGCCTATTGATTTGAAGCTCATGATGTGAAATTTGAGAATAACAAATTTTGTAAAGAAATTTGTTCGAGAACTTAATAAAAACATAGCTCGAAATTGGCATCCTGCTTAGGGTTATAGCATCAAGCCTATATACTTATACATGACCAAACATAATTGTTTCCTCATGGTTTATCACTATTTTTATCCTTAGATTTGCAGCCTCCCTTTTGATGATTCAGCCCCTAAAATGTTAGGTTACCTATGGGGGGTGAGATTTCAATGAAATCCTAGTAGCAAGATCGATAAACCAAAACATCAACATGCATCAATTATAAGCATTCCAAACTTTTGCTATTAATAGAGAACTACTTTATCCCATACAAGTAGCACTCTAACATGCACTAGCCAAGGCACTTAAAGCAAGGAGTATAGATACAATCATCATCATCATCTAGCTCAACCGTACAATAGCACATGAAATTGCATAGCAATCAATGCAACAATCAACATTAAGGTTAATTAAATCTTACTATTTTAATTCAATGCTCTTTGATTCTTTGACCTTTTTCCTCTTCTCCACAATTAACAAACCCTAACATGATAAAAAAACAAAAAAGGTAGCAAGATTACCAACCATTCCATATAAAAATTAACAACATAGCTCAACTAAATCCTAAACCCCTTAAAGCTTCAATCTTTGTTCTTAGAATTTTTAGAGTTTATTTCCTTAACTCTAAAAATTCTCTCTTGACCCATTTCTACATGATTTTTCATGTAGATTCCAAATATCTACTTGGATTTAAGAAAAGAAACTTCCTTCTTGCAAAATCAAAGTGACCGAACCTATAGAGTTCATATTCTAAAAATTATAACTTTGATTCTAATGCTTCTAACACTTGTTCTTTAGGTTTATCCTACACCATTTTTCATTTTGAACACTATGGAAGTATCAAACATTGAAAAACACAGCCTAGGGTATGATTCTCAAAGTGGACAAATGGTTCCTCTAGCAAACAAACAATGAAATCTTTTTAAAAGTAACATACAACCATTTGAAACCATCATGAAACAAGGTGTTCTAACTATGTTTAGCAACCAAAACTTCTCTCCCTTCTCTATATTCATTTCGGCCAGCACCATAGAGGGACAAGAATAGATTTTTTTCAACTATACAACTCAAGAAAACAAGGCAAGAAGCATCTTAAAACAACTTACTAACCTTGAATCTTGATTGGTAGACCACAGTGACTTGCTTTCCTCTTGGCTCTTCTCTAAAAATCACTCTTTCTCTCCCTTTCTTCCCTAGCCAAAATGAATTTATGAAATTAGGGAGAGGATAAGCTTTCTTTAATGCCCAAAATATCTCATCTATCACATTTAATGAAAGTCCAAGTGTTAATTGCTTAAGCCTCCTTGAAACCTCTCTCTTAATTACTTAAATCCAATTGTAATTAATTTCTCAAAAGTCAAGATCCTCTCCTTTTAAGGCTTGACACTTGGCAACTTTAATTACTCTCCATTAAGGGTTTGACAAATGACAAATTGTGGGCCAAGTAAAGTGCAAAGCTCTAATTTACACTTTATCGGTGCACTTTTAATTCGGGTTTAATTTCTTTTCTATAATTACAGTATTTTGGCCTCTGTAATTATTTTTCATCAGATCCATAAATTATTCTTCTCTTTTTTCTCTTCCCAAAATACCCTCTTTAGCTCAAACTCAATTTTTTATTAATTAAATAAAAAGAAAAAATATTTTCCTTCTCATTATTGAATTTTCCACTTGTCCAAATAATTAGGACAAATCTTGGATATTTGGGAGTCTCTTTTTAATCCTATAATTTCTTATAATTTCTTAGGACATTATAAGAATTTTCTTGGGATTTTATTCTCATTCCAAATATTTATTTGGAATTTTCTGAATAAAATGCCTTAATTTAGGCTAAATCAAGCTTAAATTTCTTGGTAATTTCTCTATGGGCAATTTGGTCATAAAATCAATTATATAATCTCGTATAATTTTCAAGGAATATTATCCTTATTTTTTCTTAATTTTTTAGGACTTAAAAATATTTTTTCATAATTATTCTTGACCAATTTTTCTTAATTAGTCAAACTTTTCATAATTGATTTAGAAAATCATAATAATTATTTTTCACCATAAATCTTCTATTTCTCTTTATCTTTTTTGGCCCTTAAATTTTTAGAAATATCTTTATTTCTAATTGTCATAATACTAGATGTGACACATATATTATTAAAGGAAGAGAAAACAAGCTTTTATGGTTGTTTGAATGATATTAAGGTGCCACAACATTATTCTTCTAATTTGAGGATACTTGTTTCAGTGTAAGATTTGAAGATAATAGGGATGAAGTCTCATGATAGTTACGTGTTAATGCAATAAAAAAAAGCGTGATCATGATTTGTTGACAATGAAGGGTGATGATTCACTTTTAATATCTTGATGATATGGTGTATTATTAACTCTTGGATCATATGGATGGATATGATTAAGAGATAACGGGAGATTATGAGAAAAGGGACAATGAGAGGATTCTTTCCCTTTTCAAGTTCGAGGTAGTGTTCGGTTGGGGTTTTTTAGGAGAGGAAAGGGAAAATGAGAGGGCAAGTGCGTTTGCTTTGGATGAGGATAGTAGAGGGAAGATAAATTTTTTTTTTTTTCCTTTTTACCCTCCCCTCTCCTTCTCTTGTTTCCCTCGGAACAATTTGTTTTTAATTTTTGGAGGGGGATGAATAATTTGCACATTCGGACTCAATTGACAATAAAATTTTTTAATATTCCAATTTTGTCCCTCGTGATTAAAGCTGTTTGTTTTCCTCACCGTTCCCTTCCGCCACTCTTCTTCATGTGTTGTCGCCTCGCCTCCTCCAGCCGTCACGCATCACCGTCGCCGCCTTATCCTACGGCTACTGCTGCCGCTGCCACCTCCAGCCGCCACGCAGTATGTCATCCTTCGCTTGTGGCACTTTCAAGCTAACCCTGAATTCTTTCTTATTTGGGTCTAGAGCTGAATTTCTTTTCTACATCTGGTTTTCTTCTGGATTCTCTTGATAATTGGTTCTTTGGGACTGTGATATGAAACTGCTTCGACACTTGCTAGGAATAATAGCAGAATTAGCCTTGACTGAAAACGAGGGTTATGCTCTGTCCAATCTCCCTAATTGACAGGCATGAAAGTTTATTTTTTAACATTTCTTCCAAATTCTTCAACACATATGGACCGCTGGAAATTGTGCATCGTTGTGATTATAGTTTGTGACCTTTTTATGATCTTTTCTTAATTATAAAGTTCCCAATTTATGATCTTCCTAATCTCCTCTTATGGTCTTTTCTTAATAATAGCTTTCCCAATTCATTTTATCTCAACCTTACGGGAAGAAAAATTCTATTCTGTCTGTAATAAACCAATTTATAAGTTCCTGTTGTGATGGTTTTCGTAATTTGTGAGGAAAACTTGAATGAACAAACTAAAATTGAAATGGGTTGAATTGAGTCCTCCACGATGGAAGGTAATGTTGTAACCTGGAGAAAGCTCACAATTTCAAAAGTTGTTGGATCCTGGCCTATCCGATATCATTTATGTATTTTATTCTCAAGGTTCTCTATTGCAAATTGTCTTTCTTGCATTATGGAGGTAAGCCTTCAATTTAATGCAGAGACGTATAGCTTTGGTGTGGTTGTTTTGGAGATGTGTGGGAGAAAGCTCTTGAGTTGTCTTCATCAGGATCTCCAAGGGCATTCTTGATCACAGATTGGGCATGGTCCTTGGTTAAATCTGGGAACATAGAAGAGGCTTTAGATGCTTCCCTTTAAAAGATGATGTTGAATAAAACTGGTGTCTCTTTACATCAACTGGTGTCTCTTTATAAGATAATAGATCTTAGATTGACTAATTATTTGGTATAAAGTTCTTCATTTTTCATGTATTTTTTGGTTTTACTTTAGGCTGTAGTTGATAAAGGGAAATGTAAATTCAAGCGCAATCAAGTTTTACTGTTGGTTTTACAAGATGAATAGTGTGCTCTGTTTTTTTAACCTATTCCTTGCTGCACAACTGTCATGTTCAATATCATTGCTTTCTTCTTAGGTCATATTGGATATCATCAGTAGCTATTTCATCATTTGATGAATTTGCAAGGCTGATGGCTATGCTTAAAACAGATTCATGGGAGATGAGCACATCAGAATGTTCATCTTAAACCTTTGATATAATGATTAACAAAATTCCTGAACAAAAATGATATAATCCAAAATGATAAACATGATGTCACAAATTAATAGAATATGTAACATGTCATAATATCATACAAATACATAAAAGTTTGTTCCATCACATATCTTTAAGCTTTTATTTATTTAGTTATTCATTCAATGTCCTACTTACTTTTAGAATGGCACATTTTAGTGTCTGATTGGCTATCAGCTTTCAAAACCCAGTTTATTGTCCCTTTTCCACGATTTTTTTTAAATTATCATATTTTATAGAAGTAAAATATTTCAAAAAGTATATTAAAATTAATGAGAAAGATCTATTATATATAAGTGAGGAAACATGTTTCTGGGGATTCTGACTAAAAGCATAGTAAAATGTATATAAAAAAAGTTTATTATATAAAAACAATATAAGGGTAAAGTTGTCCATATAAAAATATTGACCCTCCCCTTCCCTTTTGAACCAAACAGGTAACATTAAAAGTGCTCCACTCCCCTCTCCTTCCGTTCATTAAAAGCCCTCCCCTCCCCTCCATGAAAATTCTTCCCCTCTCCTTCCCTGCATTGAACGAAATAGGGCTTGAGGGAATCAGCAAACCTGAGGAACCATGGGATTGAAGATCCAATGTTAGGAATGAGGGGGTGTTTGGATAAAACCAAACCATAGTTTGGAGAATAACTTCTGGAGAATAGATTGTGGAAAAAATAGATTTTGTGAAAAAGTGATTTTGAGAAGTGAGAGTATTTGGATAGTTGTTATTAGAAGCATTTTTTATATGTATAAATTATTAAAAAAAAACATAAGTTAATATGATAATTACATAAAACATAGATTGTATGATATATTTTAATTTGAAGGAATAAAATTGTTAATAATATACTCCTCTGGTCCTAAATGTAAGACCCTTATACATTTAGGACCGGAGGAGTATTTTTTACCAACATAATTAATAATACATAAGATAATGTAATTAATAAATAATTAATGTGTATATTTATTTATAAGATATAAGATTAAATATGTTTATAAAAAATTAATTAAGGGGTGTTACTCTAATAGGCACAATCATACTCTCCAATTTGAACCAGAAGCAAAATGGATTCACTTCTTCCGGAAAAACCATGGTTTTGATCCAAACCATGGTTTCAGATAATTTGTGCCTGTTTGGGTTGTTATTTTCCCAAACCATGGTTTGGGTCTCCAAACCATGGTTTGGCCTGCTATCCAAACAGGGCCTGAAAATGTTGTCACCAAAATGACTTTCACTCCATCTCAAATTTTCTGAAGAAACTCAATGATCACCCCATGTCATCTTCAGATTCCAAGCCTTCCATCATTCATCTCATGGTTCATGGTGGTTGATTTAGGGCTTCAGCTTTTGTTGTTGTATCTGCTCCCCCCCCCCCTCTGATTGATCATATTCCTAGTTCTAGTCATTTGCTCCCTCTCGTTGACAACAAAGTTGCTGTGCATGGTGGTCCTTGTGGTGGTTAAGAGTGGTTATGCTTGTTTCAACTGGATCTTCTTGTGTTCTGTTTTTCCTTGATAAAGGACAAGCTTAATTAATATGGTATTTTGCTTCGATAATTGTAGATATCGGTTAAAAATTATGTCAGCATTCCATTGACATGTTCCCATTCCCATTCACTTAAAATTCATTCATGTGTACCAAATATATAAGTGTAAAATTTCCTGGTGATTTTCAAAATGGAATTTTCAGTTAATATTTTATTGATTTCAGGGAAGGGCATGGCTTCTTCCTCGGTGATTACTCCTGAAGATGTATTGGAGATGTTGATGAACGATGGTACAATTGATGCCCTCAGATTGAAGATCATCAATCAACTCAAAGCTAATGTAATTTTATTTTCTTATTTATAATTTCCTTGGTTTCACAATGTTCAATTGACTTTGGGTTGTTCCCCTCACAGCCTCACCCCACCCTTTTCCTGTCAAAATGATGAGAAGCCATTTATTGTTTTAATGCCTTTTAATGGGATCTACATACATGATAGAATTTATCATTGAATTTGGACTGATCTTAAGGCTGATAGTGGGTTAATGGTTCTCAAGTGTTAACACTGAAATATGATGCATGAATTGTTAAATCAGTGATGGGATGTATCCACTTTTCTTTGGCAGGAGGAACTCAAGAGTACCACTATTAAGATGGCTGAACAGAGTAAAGTTCTTAATACCCCTGGGGCTGAGAAACAGACCAAAAGAGAACTGTTTGATGCACTTCGTCAAGAACTTGAGTAAGTGACTTAATTGCTTAACATTTTTACTTATGTATTTGCTTTTTTCCAAGGGCACTTTATATAAGTTGTATTAATAGTTGGCTTTCGGAATGCTGCTGAAAAGTTATTCTACCTAACACAATTTAGTTTGGATGGATAGGTTTTGCTTATTCTGCACACATGTTGTCCAATAATTTTGCATCTGTTGAAAGTAGGATGCATAACATGTTAGTTGACGTAAGTGGATCTTGTGCTCAGCGTCTCACAAGGAGGCTGTGCTAAGCATTGAGATTGTGTTTGTTCAGTGTGTCCTTTGATCTTGTGTTTCAGCCATTTCTTTTCCATGTTTTTCTTCTCACTATCTTTTCTTTCTTCTTCCTCATTGCTTGACTACAAAATATTGTGCTTGCATGTGTGCGAGTAACCAAGCATAGTTTGGGTATGATACTGGTAGAACCCGAATGGCTAGATAATTAAGTGAATAAAAAAAAAGCTGAAATATAATCTAGTAGAGGGTTGAGGCAAGAATCTCACTCTCAACTCACTAATAGCCGGGATAAAATCTACTAAAATTTACTTAAGCAAGGATCTCACTTAACTAGATTTAGTAGCCAGAAGGAAAATCTCCAAATTACTGAACAAATATTTATTTCTCTCATATGTTAGCTTATAGGATGGCTAACATATTTATAATGCAGAAATTACAATTGAATAAATATAAGAATTAAGTAAATATCCCTAATATCTTGGAACTAACAGAAAGAGACGTTGGTGGACCTCTGACAACCTAAAGTCCCCTTATTCAATTAATAAATCATTAATAAAATCAATAAAACCTAAAAGACTCATTCAACTCTCCTAAAAAGATGCAAACAGACTCAACCACTACTCCAGTCTCCCTATTTCTTCTCTGGTGCGTTAATGTGCTGACTTGGAGTCCTATCAATACTCCCTCCCTGAAGACACGACTTGCCCTCAAGTCGTAATTGATGAACTTGCACATCCACTTGAATTGTTCCTTTATCCATTGGATTTGCCTTTGACCGATGGTTCCCATTCATTTGAATTTCTAATAAGAGCAGGCTTTGAAATTGGGCAGCAGTATGGGTCCCTGGAATAACTCCCTGAAGCTTGTACTTTTTGCCATTTTTCCAGAAAATCATGAACATCTCGTTCCAATTGGTTTGGGTGGTATTCAATGAAGCCAGCCATTTAATGCCCAGAACAAGATCAATTCCACTTAAAGTGAAGGGGAAATAATCTCGTTTAATAACTAAATCAGAAATTTTTACCTCTAAATCTGTGCAAATACGGTTGCATTTTACCACTCTACCATCTCCTGTTTGAACTCCAAATGAAGACGTCACACTAGTAGGAAGACACAAATCAGAAACTAATGCTTCTGATATAAAATTGTGAGTAGACCCACTATCTACTAAAATCAGAATCTCTCGGCCCATTATAGAACCTTTGAGCTTCATGGTTCCAGCATTTGCCTTCCCTACCATGGCATTAAACATAACCTCAACTTCCCCTCCATCTCCCATATTGTTGACATCTTCTTTTGAGGGTAGGATAATTTCTTCTCCTTCTTCAATGAGTTCTAGGAGAGAAAAAGAGGAGTTGCAGCGGTGCCCTGGTTTGAAAACTTCACCACAGCGATAACAAAGCCCTTTCTCCCTGCGACGTTGGCGTTCAGATTCCAAGGTAGAGGAACTGGGTGATTTTGCTGATGGGTGCTGAGACAAATATGTGTTTGGGGTTGGCGGTGGAAGGAGCTTTGGAATTGCAGATGAAGATGGTTGTGCGATGCTTGTGTCTTGTGCTGGTTGGGTATAGGGGAAAAAAGTGCGAGTTACTCCTGAGGCTATGTTGGGCTTAGGCCCATTAGCATTTTGGAGCTTAGTTTCATATTCTAATGCTAAACTGGTTGCTCGATAGACAGTTCTAGGCTTATGGATACGTACATCCGCCTTCAACTCTTCCTTGAGCCCATTGATAAAGACACCTAACAAGCAATGCTCTAGCCAATTCTTGACGCGTGAGGACCTGCGAGCAAATTCAGAACGATACTCCGACACCGTCCCTGTCTGTCGAATGCTACAAAGGTACTCATCTGGGTTCTGGTATTCCAATGGTCCATAGTTTTCTTGAAGAGCCTTCACAAGTTCATCCCAATACACTACCGTGCGTTCATTGTTAACCCAAGAGAATAGATCAAGCGCGTCTCCCTCCAAGTACATTGATGCCACATCCACTTTCAAATCTTTGGGGTGTCATAGTACCTAAAATATTTCTCCACCTTCAATATCCAGCCTCGCGGATCCCCACCGCTAAACTTGGGGAATTCAATTTTCGTGTAAGGCATTCGGCGCCTATAAGATGCTTCAGGTTCGTCCTCACTATCAGCTTCCCAATGAGAACGATGGTTTCCTCTTCGACTTGTTTCAGATGCAGCCTCCAAATTGGCTACTCTGTTAGCTAATGCTTCAATATTTTCTAGTCGCGCAGCAATTGTGGTCAAAGGATCACTATCTCCTGCTAAAGGATTTTCAGGTGGGTTGGGAATGCGGGATGATCTAGTCTCAACCTGGCTCTGATACCAATTTGGTAGAACCCGAATGGCTAGATAATTAAGTGAATAAAAAAAAAGCTGAAATATAATCTAGTAGAGGGTTGAGGCAAGAATCTCACTCTCAACTCACTAATAGCCGGGATAAAATCTACTAAAATTTACTTAAGCAAGGATCTCACTTAACTAGATTTAGTAGCCAGAAGAAGAATCTCCAAATTACTGAACAAATATTTATTTCTCTCATATGTTAGCTTATAGGATGGCTAACATATTTATAATGCAGAAATTACAATTGAATAAATATAAGAATTAAGTAAATATCCCTAATATCTTGGAACTAACAGAAAGAGACGTTGGTGGACCTCTAACAACCTAAGGTCCCCTTATTCAATTAATAAATCATTAATAAAATCAATCAAACCTAAAAGACTCATTCAACTCTCCTAAAAAGATGCAAACAGACTCAACCACTACTCCAGTCTCCCTATTTCTTCTCTGGTGCGTTAATGTGCTGACTTGGAGTCCTATCAGATACACTATATGTGTAAATGTGAGCAAGTAGTTTAGAGTGCTCTCATTACTCAAATTAACACTGAGAGAAAAAGACTGATACCCAGGGAGCTAGAGGTGCTGATCTCCTACTTTCACTTTCTCAGCCTCAATAACTAAGGGCTCCTCTTGATGATATGTAATAAAGACTATTTTTGTGCCTGCAGTGAAATGGTGTGATTTCAATGCTGTGCGTGGAGATTTGTACTCGTTAGAAGACATTTATATTGCTACCATTACTGTAAATGTAGGATATGATATGTGCAAATTTACTAATGTTATTACTTGCATTGATTAAAATTTCCACCCCGTAAACCTCAGTTCTTGAATTTTACGTTGTCTTGATTTTCTGATTCTGCCTGCTCCTCTGTTCCGCAATATAGGTGCAGTTCAACTATGACATACAAACAAAAAATTGTGCTCCTCCAAATCTAAATGTAGGAGCTGGTTAAAGAGTTTGTTTGAGGGTTTATCTTTTGAGCATCCATTCGTTCCAGGCGAATTTGATATATATAATCTTAATCCATTTTATATTTCATATTTATCATTTTCTCCAAACTAATTTATCTAATTTATAAATTGATATATACTATGATGTTACATAGACTTATTTTAAGAGCATATCTCATTTGTTAGAATTAAATAATTTATTTAGTTTCCTTAATCTACCCAAAGTAGTTAAATAGATCTTATATTAAGAATCGAAATAGTTTAATGGAAGTTATATCATTAAAGATTTGAAATAATTGTAGTACTTTCCTAATCTGCCCTTATCAAGAGTCAAAACTACATTAATTATGATGAATTAATTACTCATAATCTTTAATTGTATAGAAGGGCAACATAGGAGAAAACTAGTAAATGTTCTAGATATTATCAAACCGGACTTATATTTTGGATCAAGTAGGGCTGGGTGAAAAAGACTTGTATTGTTGATCAAAAAGAGTATTTTGCCTTTTTATTTGTCTGCTCTTGCGTTACACTTAGAATGGCAAGATATTGATCATTCCTTGTCAATTGCATTTTTATCTTGGATACTGTATTTATTTAGTATATGATGAAATTTATATTCGTATTTGTTTTGGTTATCTTACTTAAGTCCATACTCATTCCATGCAGAGCACCAATACTTGAGAAAGCCTCTAAATCAGTTTGGGATTTAATTTTAGACAATAGTGGCCTGGGAAGAGAGATAAGTGAAACAGTTGAAAGAGTATTTTGTCGATTGAGTGGCCAGGAGCCTCCTTTATTTCCTACCCCGAGTGATGAACCACAAGCTGATAATAAGGAGGCTGACAATAGAAAGGACAAGAAAGGGAAAGGAAAAGAGAGAGAAAATGATAATATGAATTCTAACATTACAGTGAAGAAAAGAAGTTTTGGTGAAATGAATTCCCAAGTTGATGAAACCGCCGGGAGGTCTTCTGATTCTGCATCTGTACCAGAAGGTTCAAGCAAATCGCCTATGCCCGTCTCAAAATCTTGAGATTGATTTGCCATGTGAGCTGGCTTCTTAACAGAATTGATTACCTCTGGTAAATAGATTGTCACTTGTAACAAATATTTTTACAGTCTTTAAAGTTCATGTAACAAATAGTTTGGCTGCAATGTCTATGATAAGTGAAGTTTATTTACCGTCTAAAATTTAGCCTGTTTTGTTCAACTCTGTTAATGCTTCCCTGGTTTCTATCTGTGAACTTGTTGAATGCGTGTAATTGGTATTGAGAATTTTGTTTGAATACGTGATAGGTTTATGCCAAAGGTTGTGGAAACTGGAAACTTTCAGCCTTGGTTTTCACATTTACATGGGGTTTGAAGTCATGACTTTGTGAGTTATTAGCCAATTCTCTAGTAACTACACCAACCTTTGTTAATAACTAATTCAGTCCATGCAATGCACGGGGTATGTTTGGGGCAAATAAAAAGCTGTACAATGGACAGAAATTAAAATAAAAAGTTTGGTTTCCACAATAAGTTTTCCAAATTCATAGATTATAAAAAAAAAATTTTTATTAACATTAAAAATTTTTGCTATAGGATGGCCATTGCCATAAAGGACCAAGATCTTCAACTATTCTTCGTGTTGCACATGTGATACGGCAACATATGGCTGCCGATGACTAAACCAGTCGGGGCAGATACAATCCAATGTTTGTCATACTCTGACCTTGACTCTTGTTAATAGTTATAGCGAAATATAGCATCACTGGATATTGATGCATCGAATGGTGTAATTGTCAAACATGAAATCAATACATGCAACCAATATGTGTCCCCGTAAAGTCTACTTCGATGATGTTTTTCTAAGCCGGTGACTATGAACCGGTGTCCTTAAACAATCTAATTGATTTGTCTATGTTACGCATCAACATTATGGGTGCCTGTGCAATGCATGAGTTGTAAAAATGATTTTATAATTAGATATAAATAATTATTAATGTATGTAGTGATTTAATTTCAAATTTTTATAATTTTATAAATAATAAAGTTTAGGACTCGTGCAATAAAAGTGTCAAATTAGTGAAACATGCACGAGTAAGTTTTGTTAAATATAACTATTATATACTACCTCTAGTTATAGTTGTAAGACCTCATTTGTAGTCTACAAACTACAAATAAGGATTTATAATTAGGGCCAGAGGTAGTATAATGAATGTATTTGTCACTCATTTAAAAAGACTGCAGGAAAGATTTTTATATACAATTGGTCATCTATGCAGCCTGTAGTAACATGAATATTACAATACATGAATATTACAATATATGATCGTGGAGTTATCACATATGAGTGATTTGTTTTCACTAAGCGAGAAAATAAATGTCCTCTTATAATAGTGGCTTTTAGACCCAAGCGATTTTAACTCTTTTAAATAAATTGCATTATTTTTATCTCGTCTTAAAATTGACTTCTTTTTATTTTTATGTAAAAAATCAATGAAGAATTTATCTAAACATATCATATGTGACAAATATTTTATATTTTAAGACCATTCAAAGTTGTTTTAATTATAAATCTACACTTAAAATTTTTACCAAGTGAAAAAGCGATCATATGCCTCCTTTTGATATCTGCTCTAGGATCGGTGCATTTAATTCTTATAATAAATTGTACTATTTATATATTGACCTGCTATTGATTTTATTTTTATATTGATATATAAAATCAACTAGCGTAAACGATGGGCGGGATACATAGGCTACAAATTATTAGTTGCCAAAAAACTAATTTTCAACAACAAATGCTTCAAATTAATGGAACATTGATGACAAAGCGAATATCATGAAAAGTAGTTCAACGCAAATAAATATTTTGGAATAGTGTTACAACTTAAAAGTGTGGAGTATACAATTGGAAGTGAATCCTCTTCTGCGCAAACTGAGACGGCAAGCATTTATTTCGCCTGTGAAGAAGACACTTAAATAGTCGTCAAACATGGCGCACTATGAGCGAAGAAACTGCTATACAAGGCATGAGTAGTGGGTATCACTAATAATTCCATAAGCTGCTATAATAAACACTTGTCCATGTGATGATTAATAATTGGTCAAAACGGGATTGGGCTAATGCTTCTCAAGCAGATGGTGAATCCCAATCTGTATTTTTAAAAAAGCTATAATAAATAAGTTCCTTAAACATTTACTTGTAAAAAATCCTGAAATGATTTGAAGTTTATTTTTAAACTTAAGTACATTTACATATATAAAATTAATCCCAATAATCAATCCTTAATTCCCAATTCTTCTCAAGTATTTCTCTAAATAACAAATCCGTTCATGTACTGCACATTAATACAACAAATCTAATTCAAAAGAAAAAAATTCCACATCTGATGAGTACAAATATTGCTCTCATGGTAGAAGATTTTGTGTTATAGTGTTCACTACTACATTACAGAATGACAAATACTTGACAGTTATTTTGGGTCATTTGACAGTTAAAAATCGTCAAGTATACTGGCGTCAAATATTTCAATAATATTTGATGGTTTTACTTAAAGAACCGCCAATTATTATTTGATCAATTGACAGTTTTTAAGAAAAACCATTAACTACTTCTCTAAATACTTGACGGTTAACATTAAAACCGTCAATTATTGAAGAACAAAAATTGACGATTTTAATTAGAAATCATCAAGTATAAGTAAATAATACTTGACGGTTCTCAAAACCGTCAAGTGTTGTCTAATAGTGGTGAACAATACTTGACGATTAAAATTAAAGCCGTTAAGTATTATTATAATACTTGACGGTTCCTTCTAAAACCGTCAAGTATTATAGCAATGCTTGACAGTTTTGAGTAATAACCATTAAGTATTATGGGAATTTTGTTTTATACAGGTTCTGCTTTGTCAATAGCCCCTTGTAATTTTGAAACCTCATACAAAGCAGCGTGTTCAACAGAACCATGCAGGTTGGCATTCAAACCAATTCAGCCATATGAATGTAACCACACATGTATATATGATGAGGCAAAAATTTACATTATTATACACATCTTAATGAACCAAAACCAACTGTCATATTAAAAAAACTTGTGTTTAAGGCAAGTAAAAATTCTGGATAAGTACAAAAGTGAACCAATTCCAAAATTGGCCAATTGCCAAAGTTGTTCAATGCCAAAAACTAACCAACAGCAAAAAAAACCAAAACCAAAATTTAAACCAAAGCTATACATGTCTTGTACTTCCTTATCTATTTTGTGCCCACTATGCCCACTGACGGAATAAGGCTATCGCTAACTCTTCAATGATTTCTTCCATCTGAACGGATGAATACACTGTGCAATATGTGTTGGCAAAGTACTGTATGCAATCACAAATTATGACATAAGTTAGATATAAATGTAAAGCTACAATAAGTATAATTCTTAAATATATAAATTGAACTTTAACAAATGCATATTACCTGTGTAGGGATTATGTCAGCATTATCCATAATTATCTCCTTTATGAATTTCATCACGCAATATCCACAATCAGAGCTTTTTTTGGGCTGACGTGGGCACTATAAACAATGGAAAAGGAAATAATATTAGTCAATCATATAAATAAACCATATTTAGTAGAATAATAAATAATGGTAATAAATACCTTCACTTTCTTCCACGGGAAGGTATCGTCAAATTGGCCATTTTTTTAGGGGGCAAGGTAAGGCTTGATTTGTGTGGTATAGCCACAAAGCCCTGAGAAATCAATAAAATTGAATATTAATTATTGTCAAAAATTAGATTGAAGCAAGAAATTAAATTAAATTTAAATAATAGATATAAATGTTACTTATTGAACAATGAAACCATAAATGGTCGATTTGTTGGATCCCCATGAAGAGAATCGAGATACCAAATCCTCGGCTTTATAGGATTGACCACAATCAGCATCCAGTGTCCCTTAAGTATAAGAAAGACAATTAGAACAATTACAAAATATTTTGAAAATAAAAGAATATAGGAAAGTTTAATATACTACGTACCCTTGACAGTAAGGTGCTAAAAACAAAGTCTCAGGCTTTGCTGTCCTAGAAATGAAGATATCTACCAAGTCTTTGGATAAGTCTTTCTTCTTCATATCAGGTCCATGGCCAGCAAAAGTGTAAGGGCTGATAATCTTGAACTTGTCATCAAGGCCATTAGGGACTATAAAGTTCTTGAAAAGATACCTAAATCAACAAAGATACCAATAGAATAAATGCTCAAGTACTTAAGTATTTAATTAAGGTTTTAACAAATACCTGATATAAAAGTTACAAGCATTTGTGCTGGCCATTCCATGCGTCAGAATTTCTTTCAATACTTCATTTGTGACATACTCTGACAAGGGTCGATCGTAGACCTCTAGCTCAAACTCTAGGGGAATCATGAAATCCTCACCATGTTCTAATCGGGCCCCAACTGCATATTCATCAAGACGTATTCTGAATCTTGATGATACTGCTTGAACGGGCTCATAGGGCTACTTTTATGGCGATGATAATGAGTGATCACCTAATAGGCTCTTCTTCCCCTTAGACTGACAAACGGACGGTTAGTAACTAAAACAGAGTTTATTTTAAATCAACTGAATGTTTCAACCTATACATATATACCTTTGAAGGATTCTTAACATAAGAAGACGACCAGGCCAATTGATAAAACTACCCACTGCTTGAGCTACTGTCTTTGGATCTGGGCTGGGCATCGGGAGAGGCACATTATGAATTATACTCTCTCCTAGTAAATTGAACATGTGGCCCATTGCAATAGTGTGATATTTAGGGCTATCTACCATACACTAAACGTCTACTTCACCTTGAGTTAACATAGGAGACAAGTTAGTGTGATATGAAAATAATTGAATGTAATCGTATAAACACAAGAAGTATTATACCTCAGGTAACAAGGGGAATGTGTAGCTGTCTTTGCCACTTGGGCTGAGATTCGAAGCCAGCTATGGTGCTTGATTCTTGATCAACTGCTCGATTAGGAGCGCTTGTGCTTCAACTTGCTCCTTTAACCAGCGCGTTTCTTCCTTCAACTTCATGAACTCAACAGAGGAAGGCGTGCACGATGAAGAGTGTTTTTGTCAATACCCGAAGTAATCCATCTTGGTGACTCCATAACTGACACCTTTAAGAAAACCAGGATGGTTAAGAGTCCCCAATGCCCTCCTCAATATATCCTGGTCATCTGCA